CCATCGGATCCCTTCCAAACACGTGGAGTAGGCGTTAATATAGATCATTAGTGGCTCCATTTTTATCTTCCTCATAATCTGTATTGATGATGATTCTCATTTCCTTTTGTGGCCATGTTACATCTTTAGGGCCATCACCAGGCACCTGCAGCCATTTTTCCTCTAAATCCTTTTTCTTAGAGGTTATATCCCCACCCTCCACCCCTTTAAAAGTAGTAGCAGTCAATGTTCATAAAATAGATGTTCACAATTATCAAAAAATAAAGCAGTTTTTCCTCTGAAAATTTCAACAGAAGCATCTTTGCTAACCTTTTTTTGTTTAGAGAATTTTATATGAAGAAAAGGAATTGTCATATAAGTTCATATTTACACGAGACAAGCAGAGATGATGCCTGTAAGCTATGGATCATCATTTTTATCCATATATATGTATTTCTACCACCACCCTTTACAACCTTTTCTACACATAGAATACACCTCTTTTTTTTGTTTTGTTTTTTTGAGACAGAGTCTTGCAATGCAGTTTAGGCTGGCCTTGAGCTGACTTTGTAGCCCAGGTTGGCCTTGAACTCACAATGATCCTCCTGCCTCAGCCTCCCAACTGCTGGGATGATAGGTGTGTGCCACCACGCCCGGCTAGAATACACCTCTTTCTTATCCTTCAGGTTCTCATCTTTCAACTCACATCCCACCTATTCTGTAAAACCCCTTTTTGACTGTTCCAAACAGAAGTGCCGTTTCTCTTACCCGAATTCAAGTGGCAAACCGTTTGGTAGCTAAACTGACATTACCTTTTCGATGTCTCTTTTAATGTTTTATGTAGTTGTCACTTAAGCCTGTTCTAGTAATTCCTTCTTTTAACCTTGTCTCCCCAGCTAGATTGTGAACTTCCTAAAGGCAGTACTTCCACATCTCTAGCATCTTGCAGCTTTTCTAGCACGAACATAATGGCTGGTACATAATAGATGCTCAATAAATATTTGTTTCACTGATAGTTACCCAAAGGTGAGTAAATAAGCTCAATAGATCTGGATCATCTAAAAGTTCCAAGAGTCCATCAGTCAACAAATAAAAATCAAGTGGCTGGCCTAATGGGATAGTCATTGTGTTAAATATTTCAAAGAGGCAAAAAAAAAAAAAAAAAAAAAGGCAAGGCTTAGTGCATTTTGTAGAGGATTTCAAAATATGTGGAGGCAGTATTTATGCCTGTGAGCCTAGCTGAGTAGAAAACAACCATGTGCATGTAAAGTGACACTGGATGATAGTTGTGAAGTAGTTGACATGGTACATGTCATACAGAGCACGTCTTGTCTATTCACCCAGCACCTGCAGGGGGCAGCGTAGGGCCTCCTTGTTAATAAGGTGCTTCTCAGTCCCTCCTCAAACTGCAGCCTTTAGTAGGTACTTCCTGCCCCTCCCGGGACCCACTAGCTACTGCCCATCAGGACCCATGATGGTTTGGCTGCTGTTCCTTTAAGGCCTGGACCTCCAGGTCAGGAGGCAGAGCTCTGCCCCTCATCCTCAGGCGGGATCCACACCCGAGCACCCAGGACCCTGCCTGGAAAAGCTCCATCTGTAGGACCCGGGAATCTCGGTCCCAAGGCCATTTTGAGCCAGGCTTCCACAGTTCCTTTTCCTTTTATTCCCCAGTGATCCTGTGTTCCACCCGGGGCTCCCGATACATAAACCCTGCATTTCCCAAGCTGTTCTATTCTGCTGCCTGAAAGCTCACTCTCACCTCCGTGGGTCTAGATGGAATTTCCACCGTCCCGTCCAGAGCTGACTCACAACCTGCCTGTCCTTGCGCACCACTCTCACGTATCTACTTTCTCTAGGCTCCTGGCCTTCTCTCCTGCTGCGCCAGCGCGGTGAGTTACGGACCCTGGCGGGGGTGGCATGCAAGAATTTGAATGCAAAAGTCACCTCAGTTCTCTGCGTCTCATGTCTAATGCATGACTTTCATTAGTGAATAAGATCATATACATGAAAATACTTTGTAAACTGTCATCATCAATACAAACATGATGATATTCATATTTCTGTCTGATTAGAAATACAATACATAGTTACTTCTGAAGATGTGAATGTCAGGACTAAGGGTATATAGCTCAGTGGTAGAGTACATGCTTTGTGAGCCCCAATCCCAGCACTGGAAATAAACACATGAACAAAATCTAAAAATTAAATTTAAAAAAAGAAAATGCAGAAAGTACAAAATAGCAATCCCTTCTGAATTGATTTTCTGTTGCTGCTGTAACAAACTGCCACGAATTTCCTGGTGTAAAACTATATACAAAGAGCTTCTGAAGAGTGAGTTCTTCACATACAAAGAGCTTCTAAACATCAATATTTAATTACAGTCAAATTTAAAAGGGGCTATAGACATGAGGCAATTAAGAATAGAGGTAAATACACCAACAAACACGAAAAGTTGTGCGTCATAAGTAAAAAAGAAATACTGAGTAAAATAAGGTAACATTTTATTTATTTATTTATTTATTTATTTTTGTCTTTTTGAGACAAGGTCTCGCTATGTAGTTCAGGCTGGCCTTGAGCTCACTTTGTAGCCCAGGCTGGTCTCGAACTCGCAACGACCCTCCTGCCTCAGCCTCCCCAGCTCTGGGATTACAGGCATGCGCCACCACACCCTGCTAGGTAACATTTTTTAAAAGTCTGTTAAACAGGCAAAAGAGAGAGGCTCTTCACTGGCATCACAAGGCATGCCAGTTAGAAAATAAATCAAGGTGCTTCCTGAGGTAATATCACTCACAAAGTGACTAGAGACCATGCCTGTGATTTGCAAACAACCTATTCTATACAGAGCACAAACTACTTTCCTTGCTAACCGGATGTGGTCCCTTGGCATGGTCACCTGGGACTTCCTCCAGTGTTCTATTAGCAGCTATAATTCAGACTGCCATGTGTACAGGTATTAATGGCAAGGGACGAGGAGAAGTCCGAGCACAAAGTCCGAGAATCCTGGGGTCATATTGATCTGTTTCACTCATTCAACCAGGGTCTTCCGTCCTTCTCCAAACACCTTAGAAACACTACCCTACATTGGCTGGAGCACCTCATTCATTCAACAAACATTTACCGAACACTTACTTTGTGACGGGGCAAAGGTAAGTGCTAAGCATATGATGAGAAGCGAAAAGAGACGCAGTGCATCCCTCAGGGAGCTCACAGACTGCAGAAGGAGACAGCATTGACCGGATAATCACATAAACACGTTCAAACCTGCAGTTGGGGTGAGTGATAGGAAGGAGCCACATGTTAATAGGAGACTGTAAAACAGTGGAATTTGACTTTATCAAGGAAATCAGGAAAGGCTTCCCTAAGCAAGTGAGTTGAAATATGATGGTCAGGAAGGGGAAATTACAAGGTCAAAAGAAGAGGCAAGAGATTTTCAGCCAGGGGGGCAGCATGTGCAAAGGCCCAGTGGCAGGGCCAGTGTGATAAGTAAGACACTGAGGCCACATGGGCAGACAAGAGAGAAAAAGAGAGGGACTCAGGGAGAGTGAAACTGAGCAGGTACATGAGACCAGCCCAGGGTAGGGTGGGTCCTCTCTCCCAGAAGCCCAGACAAGTGATAAGCCCAGGGGAAAGCCAGAGTTGTGTAAAGATCTCTTTCACTGCTGTGTGCAAGTCTCCCTACAACAAACTCAAAGAGAGAAGAAGCACAAGTCCAGGACCCAGGGATTTTACGCTTTTTCCTCGAGACTATCGTTTGGAGAGGCAGCCTCCCCTGCCTGTCCTCCTCCTGCTCTCCTGCCGCCTGGCTCTTTCTCCAGGGCCCACTCTTCTGTCCTCCTGCACCCCAGGCAGATTTCCGAATGCCCTTCAGTCTGTCCTTTCCTTTCAGCCTGAGGGTTGGAAAACAGATTACGAAACCAACGGAGAGCCTGGGAAGACAACTGCAAAACTACCCAAGACATAAACTCCTGCTTTGAAACTGCCATCTTTGAAACCGCCATCCAATGAAGTGGAGAACAGTAGAACTGAGGATAAGGAATATAGAACAACTATGGTATACTGACCCTGCTTGACAGCCAGAGGAGATGACAGAGGGCGGCTAAAAGTCCATTGAGTCCTTCAGACAGAGGCCTGGACGCCCAATACAAAAAGGTGAGCGACTGAACATTTCAGACAATGAGCCCCATGAGTACTTGTGAATGCCAATGTTACCATTTTGGTGAGGAAGAGCAAAGCAAAATTGGCTAGAAATTATTTATCCAGAATATCATACATCAGGGCCATATGTGTGCCCATGAAAAATCTCACACGGATGGTACAATCTCTAAAATGCTTAAGACATGCAAAAAGGAAGCCGTATATTATTTCTGGGTCTGTCCACTGCAGGGAAATATAATGAAATGGGAAGGAATCCGACCCTCAGATAGAACACGGGTGCTCTTGCCTGTCCTAAGCGAGGAGGAAGGGCTGGACCCTTGGTAAAGAGAGCACAGGACTGATCGTGCTCTCAGGGCCGCTTTATTTCTTAGGCAGGCTGGGGGCACCTCACTACCTAGATCTTATAGTTCTGAACTGTTTCCCAACACACTTTTTAAAAGGAAAAACTGGTAACTTAAATTGCTGATACGCTACTGCTAAGAAACAGAAACAAGGAGTCTTCACTCCTTTCTAGAGATGGATTTGCCGTTTATGAACAGGTTTCCGACGGTTCAGTCCCCGGATGTGTAAAATAGCTTCACGGTATGAGGCAGACCTAGCACTAAGGGACAGAATAGAGGTCCAGGCAGCAGGGTTATGTGGGATGAGCTTCAGCCACTTATCCTCCAACTACACCCGCGTGAGACGACCTGGGTTCTGTATTTTTAGACATATAACCTGGTCTCACAGGTGTTGACAAGGACCGCATAGATGCAGACTTTCAGAGTCAGCGCATCCGAGCACAGAGTGTTCTAGAATTCATATTGCCCGCTGCATGGATGAATCATTACACGATTTAATATTTTCCTGGCGTCAACTCAACTTACCTGCTGTTCCAAGGTCCTGGGGTCAATAAAAGTCACCAAATCTACAGAAAAGTAACCAACCACATCTCTCACTTGGCAGGCCTTTCCAATTCGGAGGCACAAGGAGCTGAGAACTTGGGGATCCACTGAGGTCTGAGGCACGGTGGTACCAGAGCAAATGAAGGGGCCTTCGGCATGAAACTGGTCCCCTGTTGACAGCACCTTGATCTCTCCATTGGGCTCGATGAGCATGTCTACTGTCAGGTTGGTGACACTGTCTGTTGGCGGGAAGGCTTCAATCACGCCCCCTGGTGGGAAAAGCATGGAGTGGATGGAAGGACACATTCACAGGAATTGCTCCCACTTAGAACAGGAGGAAACGGCTTAGGGTTTGGTAGATGGACTTGGGCTCGGATCCTGCACCTGGCAGATCTTGGGAGACTTTGAGCAAGCGCTTTCAGCTGCTGAACCTCTTTTTCTTCATCTGTAAAATGGGCATAATAAACCTACCTCACCAGGTTGTTGTGAACCTTAGAGAAACTATATATTTAGCCCAATGCTTGCCATTTAGTAGGGCTCAGTGAATGGTAGTTTTGATTCTCATCATAATGATGAAGATACTGTAAATGCCATGGCTACACCCTCTCATTACACGAATGACAGACCTAAGGATTATGGACGAATCCCTAATCCCTATGAGGAATAAACTATGCATAGTCCACTGCTTGTGCTTTGATGACCAACAGGCCTGTCTGTTTGACTTCATTGCTTTTCTAAAGTGTGATAGGTTTGGGGCTTTAACAGGCATAGAGAACGCTGTTATGCTAGCTGAAGGGCTCCTATGTAAAGCCAGTTGCAAATGCATAGAGCCGGGAAGTGCTGCAGTGTTTGGGGAACAGGGCTCCTGCCTCCTTGCTCATGAGAGCTTTATAACTTAATACTTTACCGTTTGTTCCGAATGCCAGAAATCACAAAGTAAACAGCATTTTGCTGGCTAATTTTGGGGCTAGGTCAGGGGTGACCACCAAAATTATGTAGCCTTGATGTTTCTGTTTTTAGGCCTAACCTGTAAATATTACTGTGGATATGCTTTTTGTAGAAAATAGTTTAAAGTATTGTGTGGAAAGAGTTAGAGCACCTAATTTAAAAGTAAAGACAACAAGGTGCTTCCTAGACAGGGTGGCCTCTAGAACCTGCCTTAAGAAAAACTTGCCCTGTATTTCATGAATTTTCTGGGGACGGGTGGTGACCTCTATCTGTAGGGACAAGCCATAGGCTTGGAATAGCATATATGGTTAAGTTCTGAGATTATAGCAATTATCAAAGGCAGTCATCCGATACTTCAAACAAAAGGCACTTTTCTTAAATGTTTATAAATTTGGTCAGACATAGCCCCGATGAATGTCAAATTTCAGTAGGAAAACTATTTTTGGAGTGTACCCGTTCAGTTTCTAACTTATCTATCTACTTGGTTAGTTCTAAATGTTCTTAGTGTATTCTTTGTGTGTGTGTGTGTGTGTGTGTGTGTGTGTGTGTGTGTATGTGTGTGTGTTTGAGAGTGCAATTTAGGCTGGCCTTGAGCTCAATTTGTAGCCCAGGCTGGCCTTGAACTTGCACCGATCCTCCTGCCTCAGCCTCCTGAGTGCTGGGAATATAGCCGTGTACCACCACGCCCCTCTTAGTGTGTTCTGTACCTGTGTCCCAGTTGTTGGATTTTAGCGAGCTAAATGTAACAAAATCCCACAAAACCAAAAAGCCCTGTGAATCTCTGATTTAGTTAGCTTGGTGTCCTTAGCTGTCACCTCTGTTTTGGAAGATAATGCTTCAGTGAGAACACATTATTCTTTTTTTTATTTATTTACCAGATTACTTTAGATATTTTATTTCAAAGAAGCTTATTTGTATGTCTTCTCAGCATCCTGACCATAATTTTTTCACTGTTAATTTTTTCCTTTCAGAGTGATCAATCCCCTTAACAATGTCTAGCTTTTGACATAATCCTATGACAATGGAGAAAGCAAATCTGTAGCACATTTTGTGGCCAGAAGCACGTTTGAGAGAACAGGCAACAGCGGAAGCTGGCGGCTTGATAAGCTTAGGGTCAGGGTCCGTGAGAGGTGCCCCCACCAGCGAGGAAGTCTGTTTATTACTTACAAGCTCCAGATTTTAAGACAAGCTAACGCTGTTGGATCTAACGGTGTCTGATTCATCACTTCTCTGTTGTGTGATTCCGCCCAGGTCACTTCCTACTTTTCTGAACCTCACTTTCTTCACCTTTAAAATTGTGCTAACAAACCCTGTCCTGTCGTTCGTCGGTAAACACCGTGTTTACCACTCGGCCGAGGTAAAAGATAAGGATGAAAGAAGCCTCAGCGTGGGATTGTTCAGCTCAGGTGAGGCAGTGTCTGGGAATCATGAGAAGTGGGTTAGAGGCGGGGTTTGCAAGCTGACCCGAGAAGGTCTGGAAATCCCCTAGTACCTTATCCTGGATGGCCCTGAAGATCTAACTCTTTTGATTTAAGAAAAAAAACCTTTGTTTTTATTGGGCGTGGTGGCACTCTGGAAGACAGAGGCAAGAGGATCGCAAGTTTGAACCCAGCCTGGGCAACTGAGCAACTTATCAAGACCCAAGTCTTAAAATTAAAAATTAAAAAGAGGGCTGGGGGTGTAGCTCAGTGCGAAGGCCCTGGATTCAGTCCCCAGTACCACACACGCGCGAATCCCTTATTCCTGACCTTTTCTGGGGGTGGGGGGAAGCGTTGTACTTCTTTCCATATAAGCATGAGGTTGACTTTCTTACTTTGGCTTTTCTGTCTGTGGCTATGTACAGAAATGTGTAGAATCACATGCTTTTAGAGAAGACACTGGGGTAATGTAGCACAAGTCCTCACCCCCCAAAAATCCTTTTTTCAGTGCTCTTGTTGGATGTCTGACATCTAGTTCCTTGCTTAAATAATTCATTTACAAGGCATCTGCCGCACCCTGGCCAACCAGTGTATTCCAAAGCCAGTGAGCCTGCCCCTTCTGGTCTGGTCCTCTCTTACACACGAGATAAGTCATTTTCCTTGAGTAATATGCCCGTTGGCTCTGGCCAGGACGCCTGCAGCAACACAGAGCTAGTCTTTCATAGGCTCATCTACATGTGAGCAGAGTGATTTGGGGTGAGTTCATCTTTTGTCCCCCTGGTTCCTACTCTGTCAAACAAGAGCGATACCATATTATGCTTTAGAGGTGGGTCACTAAGGGCAGACCCAGCAGAGTACAGCTCCCTGCCTGACTCCTCCTTTCTCTCTCTGCTCCCTGGCTGCCAGTGATGCGAGCAGCTTTCCTCGGCCAGGCTCCTCCACCATGCTGTGTTCTCCTTGAAGTCAGTCAGCGATGCCAGGGACTGACCCCTCTGACACTGTGAGTCACAATGAACCTCCCCTCTGTTAAATTGTGAGCGCTGAGTGTCTCAGCAATCAGAAAAGCGACTAAGATGTACTAGTAATGACCCCATAGAATTGTTACAAGGATTCAATAAGTTAATATATGTACACTTCGGACAACGCCTGGCACACAGTAAGCTCTATGGGTGCTCGGTATATTCTCATCTCTGTTCTATTATCTTTGTTGAGTGGTAGCCAGTGTTATTCTTTGACATAATATTATTTTATCATTAGGTTTTGTGCTAATGAACTACTTGTATCATCACTGGATAGCAGGGAGTAGAGTGGAATGACACCTTTTCTGGCTTGTTATACTAACCCTTGCTCACAATTCATACAGGTGCCCACGTGCCTTACCCTGCCTGGGGCAGGAAGGCCAGGCCCTCTTGTGGTTATGCCCGGATGTGGACTGGGGATAAGCACCATTTGCTCTGTTCATCCCCTTGGTCCTGGGCCTCCCAAAGTTGTTACAAGATGAGGGTGGGGAGGAGGAGGATGAAGGAACAGCAGCTGGCTTCGTACCTAGACCGTAGCCTGGATCCTTACTTGGAAATGCTACCTTTCTTGGCTGGAAGTGAGGCCATTTCTGCTCTTCTGGAATGTGCAAGGGGAAACTAACATTTATTAAAGACTTTTTTATGTGTCAGATCCTGTGGTAGAATCCTTCATATCTCGATTCCATTGACTGCCCCGCCGTCAACCATGTGTGGTAGATAAGCAAGGAAACTGGGCCTCTGAGGATTTCAGAACCTTGCTCAAGATCCAGATGAGGTCCAGATCCACTGCTCAGGAGAGGTCTGGGGCAAAACCAGCCTGGAATCTTGAGATATGCTTCCCACCCTTGGAACACTTGGTTCCTATTTACTCCACGGCTCAGTGCAAGATAAATATTTAAGCAAAACTTAGAAAAGAGAACAAGGCAAGCTGTAGCTGTTAGCACTTTTCTAAGCTAGCACAGGTGATGCGGAATATTGAAACTGGCCTTGGGTTGACCCACAACTACAACCCAAGGTTGTGCAGACTGATCCGCAATAGAAACTTTACAGTCTTATTTACCTTGACTGAGAAACGTTTGGAGGAATTTCCTCCACGTTGGGAACCGTTTCTCATTGACTGGCTGCGCGTGCTGTGCTAAAATGCCCGCCAGCTCCTCGGAGATCTTTGCCAAAGCCGGCTCCTGCAGAAACAAATTAAACAGAACCACAAGCAATTTTACTACAGAAATGAAAACTGCTTGTGGAGTGATTAAAAACCAGGCCTCCAACAGGCAAAAAAATGTGGTTACTGTTTACCCAGAGTCAGAAAGTCATTTTGAAAATATTCCTCTGCTTTCCCAGCCATTTCAGTTTTCATATTTCAAAGTGACTGGGCCCCCTAAACATTGCTGCAAATTGTGCCCGTTGTCTCCAAAAGGCGCCCTCTGTCTGACTGTCAGGAAGCCCAGGTTTCCGACCGCCAGAGGCTGCCCAGCAGTGTCTCTGCACGGTGCTCCTTCTTCCCCCTCTGTTCCTCACTTCCCTACTACATGAAATGTGGAGTGAACTAGTTTGTTCCTAGGGTTCTTCAGATTCCGGAACATTTTTATTCCGTGACTCGAAGTGGGCTGATCCTAGAAGTAACGGAGTTGGCAAGGTCTTTCTCAGGCCATGCGTGCAACGTGTGTAGCAAACACAGATGAATTCCATATTTGGACTGGGTCCCATTCCCACATAGCTCCAGTATGTGCAAAATTCTAAAAGCTGAATAAAGCTCCAAATCCAGAGCAGTGCTAGCCCTAGGCACTTCAGGGAAGGGATACCTGACCTGTACATTTGTGGGGTTGTGCAACCACCACTCTGCCAGTTCTGGAATATTCCATTGCCCCAAAAGGAAACCCCATCCCTAAGAGCTATCCCTCTTTGCTCCCTCAGCTCCTGGCAGCCACCAATCAGCTTCCTGTCTCTAGAGTTGCTTGTTATGGTTTATTTCACATCAGTGGAGTCATATAAGATGTGGCCATTAGTGTCTGGCTTCTATCACTTAGTATCACGTTTCCACAGTATAGCATTTGTCATGGCTGCTTCCTTTGTTTTCATGGCTGAGTAATATTCCACTGCATGGATGGACCATGTTGTGTTTATCTATGCATCCACCGTGGGACAGCTGAGTGTTGAGGTGCTGCTGCCTTGTGGGGATGTGGTTAGTGCCCCTGTGAACAACTGTGTACGGCTTTGGGTTGAGTCCCTGTTGACAACCTTTTTGCTGGGGAATCAACAGCCTGTATCAAACTGTAACCACTTACCCTGCAGGGAGGTAGGCGATACCCAGCAGCAGTGGTTTTATTACTGGTGGAACCCCCCCCC